TATTAATAGAATATTAATAAAACTGATGAATATTTGAATTGGAACCAAGTATTGAACCTTTTCAATTAAGCAGATTTGCATATATGAATATTCAGTTAGGATTATAAGAAAGGTCTGCTTCATTCTGAATTTTAAAATATACTTTGCCAATGAATCTGTAAAGGGTTAATGAGTAATCTGTGAGGACATGCATATAGTTCAGAGAAAGTTCTGTGTAGCCATGTCATATCTACAAGAATTGCTGGGACCTTCCTTGCTCATGTTGCAGTTATAATATCTTCCATAGTAACCAGTTTACACTGTCCACAGAGCATCCTAATGAGATCTGAAGATAGTAAAGATGTTTCTAAGGCAAGGTAATTAGGGTGCTGGCCAATGTTTATAATGTGACAGCCTCCAGACTAGGTTAGTTCTGGTATTTATCTACTTGTGCTATATTCAGTTCTGATTGCTTCATTTAACTTGAGAAGGTTACTAACCTTCAGGTGAACACAGATTACTATTCTGGTTTCATTATACTTATGAGACAACTCCTTGGAGACAAGTGGATATATTTCAGGTATATTTTTGTAGATATAATTAAGATGACTTTCTAATGTGTTAAGTGTTGTAGTGACCAACTGGGAAGAATCAATAGTGAATAGGTTTCTCCCTTGAGCAACTTAATGGTACTTAAGGTGCTACATAAGATGGATGTGTGAAAGATAGGATTATGAAACTGTATGTTCTTGAATATTTTAAAAAATAAATTTCTACCCCTAGGAACATCAGTTTTTATGCTATCTGATAGGTTGCCCTAGTTTTATATCATTTAACACTTAGCATTTATAAATATATTTCCACATGTAGAAGAGAAAATGATGTCAGCTTTAGAGAGATGATAAAGAAGAGAATAAAGGTTCTGATTTGAAAGATGTGTAGGAAGTAGATTAAAACATGATTGTCCAACGGGGAAGTATTAGTGTTACATTGAACATGAACAGATATATTTATAATTATTATAGAAAAATAGCACAGTCAATAAGATTGACTTAGGATGCAGAATTTCTGATTTATAGGAATAATGACAGGTATGTTTTTGGGACAGTTTTATCATTTAATGAGTTATCTATTTGTCTAAATGCATTGTATTTTCTTATGTCTTAAAGTACTCATTTTCAAAACATAATATTTTCTTTATAACCGTAGTTCTCAGGCATAAACACACATTAGAAGTACGTGGGTGAAATTTTAATGTATTTGTATACTCTGGTACCAAACTGGCCTTCCTCTTAGAGATTGATTCAATTAGCCTAAGTTACATCACAGGTCTCAGTTATTTTTTCAGATCTTCAAGTAAGTCTAATATCAGGGCTTGACCCCTGAATGAGGGTCAAACATAGTCTCCCACTGAGCTACATTCCAGCCCTTTTTTATTTTGAGACATGATATTACTAAATTTCCCAGATTGTTCTCAATCTTGTGATCCTTCTTCCTTAGTACCCTGTGGCTCACTTGTACTGATTTTCAAGATCTGTTTATTTTCCAGGAGATTTGTGGGTGGTTGATTTTGTATAGAATATGGGAAATTAACCAGTGTTATATGTGTATATATGCCATGGGGATCAAGGAATATTATAAAGTGAGACTTTTTTTCTGTGGATTGGCATTCCATGTGATATGGATTTAAATAGAATATTCCATTGTGAACCTATGATTTCTCATATATATTATATGTATATATGTCCATGGATATGTATATCTCTTTCTCTTTGTCTATATAGCTTTGTCTGGTAAACAAATAAAAAAAATATAGACCCCCTAGCAGCAAAGAGAATTTATAGCACATAGATTTTAGACTCAATCCATTCTATATTAAAAAGAAATAGAATTCCTCTGACACATGGCTAAGTTCAGTGTAGGTGGATGATGAATCTGTAATACCTTCTTGTGTCAGAAAGTTCTAAAAACAATGAAAGAGTGGAGTATATTATAAGGGCATAAGAATGAACTTGAAGTACATCATGCTCCCATAAAAAGTTTAGTAATGAATTATATATCACTAAAACTGCAATTTGTGAGTCTACATGACAATGAATATATAAGTAGTTAGAAAGACAGATAATGAAAAGTTAGAGAAAGGAGTTATCACAGTATAATATTGAGTGCATTTTGATAAATATAAATTAAAATCATCAATGAAGAAGAATCCATGTGCTTCCAAATACAATACCCTGAGAAATCAGAGCCTCACTTATTTAGCATTTCTGCAGGAATATAACTGGCTATAATTATGAGGAACCAGAAGATAAACCTCATATAAAATAGGTTCTAGTACACAACAAGAGAAATGATATTCTTTAAAATACCAAAGTTGGGCTGGTGAGATAGCTCAGCAGACTAAGCATCTGCTTAGGCAAGCACAGGGACTGGGTTTCAATACATGGCACTGCATGCTGTGCTGGCCCTGCCCCCAGGCACACTAAGCACCAAGATGGGGTGTGGTGGCTCACACCTTTAATTCCAAAGCTGGAGAGGCTGAAAACAGGAGGATCACCATGAGCCTGAGCTGCATAGTGAGATCCTGTACCAAATACATAAAAAACAAAAACAAAAGCAAGAAAACAAAAAGACCAAAGTTGAAAAATACAAAGGAAAGCTGTAGAAATGTCTACATTAGACAAGGCTAAATAGACATGCTGACTATGCTGGCTAAGGACAATATCGAATCCTGCACTGGAGGGGAAAATGCAATAGAGATATCATTAGACACAGTGATAATTTAGAATATGAATACTGCCTGGTTTTTCTTCTATAAGAAACTCAAAATATAATCTTAAGAGCTAAATAGAGCAGATGGTAGGAAATAGGGAAATGACTTTTTGGGGTGGGAAGAGGAATGAGGGAGGAGAAGGGGAAGTACTCATGCTCATCACAGATATGCCTTGTTTAATGACCTACCTGGTTAATAACTGTTCACACATACTGCATTCTGACCTACCATCCAGGAGCCTGGGTGGTGTTGTGGCCTTATGGAGGTTCTTCTACAGTATAATGCTGTAACTTTTGTTGATTATACTGTATTGTGTAGTACTGTAATTTTATATTCTGTCATACATTATAGTACTTCATGTAACAGCTTTGTAAATAAAAGCAAAGTCATCAAGTTGGAGTTTCCTTTGAAACTTCTTTGTTCTAAATATTGTAATGCACACTCTCTATCCTATTGATTTTTTATGACCAAGTCATTAATGGCTTGGTTGTAGGAACTATAACTTAGTTGTTAAATGAGGAGTGTCTGTACTATGATATATGTACATACCAATTTCCTCTGATGAATAATTATCATGTACAGCAAACACATACTAATAAAAATAAATAAAATAATTGTAGTGTGTATCCTCATCCACTTATTCACTAGATCTGGCCCTGTGGGACCTCTGCCTCTTCCTTCCCGAAATTATATATTTACTCTATCATATACTATCTCTCTGTCTCTGTCTCTGTCT